GGCAAATCTCGTTGCCTGCAGATTTTACCTTTTTTCGACACGAATATTAATATGGGATTAAATCTCATCTGTCCCTTGCTATTAGTCAAAGGGTTTACGCTTGAATCGATTCACTTAGACGCCATGCACATACTCGACCTGGGAATTACCCAACACCTGCTAGGACGGATTCTATTGAGGATGGTGCAATTGAACTTCGCGAGGTCACGGGCTTTCCGTGCAGAGGGCAGGCGCAGGGACAATCTCGCACATCTGCGGAGGCATCGGGGTGACCAATGCGGGGACGCGTGCTCGAAGGGAGTGGCGTCTCGAGGGTTATATTAATTTAATAAGTTAGTTAACGTGTATTAACTTAAGCTTCGGCACCCGACCCCCCTCGAGGCGCATTCTTTTCTAGCATTAAACATGTGGTTCCCGCTGCCCCCATCCCCCATTAAGGCGGTTGAAGACGTACTACACGACGAACCGCGTGATATTCGGAGGGCGCCGCGGTCGACTGAGCCGCATTGGAAAGATCTCCCTGTCCCAGTTCAAGAAAGGGCGCCTTACAGCAAAAGCAGCCGAGTCCAGGCATCTCCTCCCCTCGGCAAGCTGCTCCTGAGCGAGAATGCACACCTCCTCCGTGGGGCGGACCAGTACCTCGTGCAAGCCTGTGATGCATTGAACAAGGCGCACGATGTGATGAACGAGGAGCCCAGAATTATGTCGCCACTGGGCATCCAACGCCTCCAGAGGGCCATGCTGAGGTTCCTCTCGTATTGACAGGCCTATGGCGGCCACGTGGTGTTCAAAGACCACGCGGCCGTTCATCTTGTGCAGAACGTCGGCAAGCACGGAAACCCAAGGTGGTATTGGTGCTATGCCGACGAACAAGAAAATAGGTTAATGCCCAGGATCGCCCAGAGCGTCCATGGCGGCGCCACTTTCTACGAGACGTTTCTAGGGAAAGTTCTCCCCGAGAGGTGTTGACCGCTGGTTTCACTATAGTTTCACAATAGTTTCACATTGTTTCACATTCGTGGTTTCACACTGTTTCACACGTACCATGTTTCACATTTCACCATTATACGTATCACGTTCCCTCCCTCTCTCTCCTTCTCCCGTCCTATATATATCCTTCCCTCCTTCCTCCCTCCTTCCTGCATGATCCCTCCCTTTTTATTCTCCCATCCTTCACGCCCCCTCCCTCCTCCCTCATGATGCATCCGCTTTGCTCCGCGCCACCATATGGAAGGGGAGGCGCATCAAATGGGAAGGGGGGGCGGGAAACACGGATCATCAGCTGCGCAGGGGCGGTGGACCCACCAGCGACGTTCGGTGGAGAGTGGCGCCGTCGGCGCGGCGAAACCAGCCCCCGCGCGGCTGCGCCGCCCTCCTTCCTCCCCTTCGCCGTCGTCGTCGTCGTCGTCGTCGTCGGTCGCCGTCGCCGCCGCCGCCGCCGCCGCAGCCGACGTCGTCGTCGTCGTCGTCGGTCCTCCTCCTCCTCCTCCTCCTCCTCTTCCTCCTCCTCCTACTACTACTATTAACTATTACTACTACTGCGACTACGACTACTACTACTACTACTACTACTACTACTACTACTACTACTACTACTACTACTAATACTAATACTACTACTATACTACTACTACTACTACTACTTCTACTACTACTACTACTACTATTACTACTACTACTACTACCACTACTACCACCAGTACCACTACCATTACCACTACCACTATAGTACTACTACTACTACTACTGTACTACTACTACTACTACTACTACTACTACTACTACTACTACTACTACTACTACTACTACTACTACTACTACTACTACTACTACTACTACTACTACTACTACTACTACTACTACTACTACTACTACTACTACTACTACTACTACTACTACTACTACTACTACTACTACTACTACTACTACTACTACTTACTACTACTACTACTTCTACTACTACTACTACTACTAATAATAATAATTACTACTACGGCTACTACGACTACGACGACGACGACGACGACGACGACGACTACTACTACTACTACTACTATTACGACTAGTACTACTACTACAACAACTACTACTACTACTACTACTAGTTAGTTGGTAGCGGCGCTGATTTTGACTGCCCAAGTGTGGCCAACATGTCCTTTACTGCGGTTGCGGCGCTCCGTAAGTAGAGCCACACATATATCGAGGTCGCATGAAGTTAACCTGCGCGTGCATCTAGTTATGGTTGCGGAATTCCGCGTGTTATGACACATGTAGGCGTGTCCCTGAACGCGCACTGGTTTCGGCGATTTTGCTTGAACGCGGATTGGTTTCACTAACCAAGGATTGATTTTGAGTGAATGGATTGATTTTTTCAAGCGCTTGATTTATTTTCAATCCGTTCAAAAGCGGATTGAAAAAATCATGACCTAGGATGTCGGGGCATGGCCCAGGCGGGACTGGGCCCGACCAGCGGGCGGATCGCGGCGGAGTACCTGAAGGACACGTTCGGGGTAGGTGTTCAGACCAATACCAACCCGTCCACCGGGAGGGAGTACAGGACCCCCGAGGTCATGGAGAAGTTGCAGGAGACGAGGGAGGCAGCCATGCGGAGGAGCCTGGAAGTGACCCGGCCGGAGGCAGAAGCCCCGAGACCAGCCCAGGGCGGGACGCCCCGTTCCCCCCGCGAGGCTGGGGAGACCGCCGCACGGGACAAGGGGGGGACCCCTACCAGCCGTGCACGGGAGGCGACCCCGGAGCCCCCGGCGGAGGCGATACTGCAGCTGGAGGAGACGGACTGAGCCGGACCCAGCCTTGTGCGGGCGTCCGGGAGGCGGGTGGCCCTCTCCTTGAATTCACCACGGACCCCCCTCCCTCTGGAGGGGTGGCCCCGCGTTTTTGGGCCCCCCTGCGCGCACGCCAGCCGCCGAGTCATGAACGTGTCAAGCGGCTGTACAGGATGCAGGCAGGGCGGCCCCCGCGCGGCCCCGGTCACTCTCCCCTCCCCGCCCCTCGCGGCGCACTGCGCGGACATGCCCCGGCGCGCCTGGAGTGGAGCTCCCCCTAGGTGGAGCTCGGCGGTGGAGCTGGCCCGCGGTCATTTGTTTAATCGACTCGTGGGGCCCCGCCCCCTGCCTGTGAGCAGTTTGCCCACCGGAGGGTCGGCGGTGGCGCCCCTGCTTCCCCGCGCGCGTTTTCCCTCGCGTCCTGGCGCGCGGCGCCTGGTTGGACTTTTACCGGAGGGTGGGGCCCGGGACGGGCGTGGGCGGAATGCCTGCGGCTGTGCTCGCGGTCGTCGCCAAAACAGGGCCCTCCTTCCCTCTTGACAGTTAACGGAGCTTGGGGGGAATATGGTCTCGTTTGGCTATGCCTAAACGGTTTTATTCCCCCCTAGGCCGTAGTGCTCTGGCTCCCTCCCCTTCTTTCCCTTTCCCCTCTTCCGCAGCCGTCTGCGCTTCGAGCTGTGCTTTTCCACCTCCCACCCCACAACTATTTTCAAGGAGCCGCACCCTGGAGCCCCCCCCCCGTCAGTCGGAGGGCTCCGGGGCGGAATGCCTGCGGCTGTGCTCGCGGTCGTCGCCAAAACAGGGCCCTCCTTCCCTCTTGACAGTTAACGGAGTTTGGGGGGAATAAAAAGGCTTTCTCTGCAGTCGGACCGAGGGTCACAGGATCGAGGTCGGCTCGTGGAGGGCGCCCTGGTGTTTTTAGGGAAGCGAATAATGATATAAACAGAACAAAAACTCGGAGGTCCGCGCGGACCTCTGAGTTTTTTATGCTGATGCCGTTTTTCGCTCCCTTCCTGTTGTTCTTCGTGTTTGCTGGAGGTTGCTGTGCACCCAGGGGAGGGTGCCCTTGGATGTTCTGTGTCTTGCGGGCGACGGAGGGTCTCGCGTTCCTGAGGGATGTTGTTATGGCCCATGTCCGGCTGTACTTTCCATCCTCCCACAGCCGTAAGAACTGCAGAGAGGTAGGGTCGTACTGTTCTGCGATGTGTCCAGCATCCGCCGGTGATTCAAAGATAGGGCCCTTCAGGATGGGGTCCGAAGGATAGGGAGGGATCCATTGGTGTATTTACACTTGTTGAGGCACCTCTTCCTTATGATCCCATCCCTCAGGACCCCATCTTTGAACCACCGATTTCGGGGAAGTCTCAAGCGAGATCAAAAAGCAGTCGCCCTCCATCCGTGTAGAGGGGCATTGAATTCCAGGAAGCCTCAGAACGATCGCCCTCCGTCCGCGCAAACGCTGGATGTGTTTGAGACGAGTGTGCTCGACGACGTGGCGAGAGCCCCATTTTGAACCACTTGTGTGTCATCCGCGTAGACCTCTGATGCTCTTCGAAACTAGTGCGCGCAGGTCCTAGGCGAAAACCCCATTTTGAAAACCACCCTGCTGCACCCGTGTGACCGTTGGCGGTTTCAAGCTTTGACTCCATGATTCGCGAGGAAGTCTTTTATGAGACGCCCGCTTTGCCCTAACGACCTGTCTGGCGGGGTGACGGAGGAGCGAGGTATATGTGAAGGAAGGGGCAGGGACGAGGAGGGAGGAGGAGGCAGGAGTGATAAGCTGTGGTGGAGGAGCAAGCACCGTGGAGGGATGCGGGCCCGCACTGAAGTCGGATGTCTGGAGAGGCCTCCGGGCGTCTGTTTCCAGAGGCCTCCAAGGGCCGTCCAGGAGCGAAGCGCTCGCTCGAACCTCGCTCTGGCTCAAAAGTCTTTGTGAAGGAGCCACGGGGGGACGCCACTGCAGGCCGCGCGGAACACCGGGAGCCGTGCCAGGCTGGACGTATAGGGGAACGAGCAGTGACATAAACACTCGGCGGCCCGCGCGGATGCCTCGGATTGGCGCTGGAGCACCCTGGCGGCCCCCTCCGCGCCGCTCCGGGCGCGTTCCGAGCGCCAGGGAGGGGGGCCCAGCGCCGATCCGAGAAGTTCGCGGGGACCTCCGAGTTGTTATGCTTATGTCGCTGCTAGTTCCCCTATAAGAGGCCGCCCGCAGACCCA